TCGTCTATGTTACAGAGCAGTTCTTTCCAGTGTAGCCTTCTACACAATTGCAAGTGTAATCAGCTACTTGATCATTGCAGGTGGCACCATTTTGACATGGATTTGGAGTACAATCGTCTATATTAACAGAGCAGTTCTTTCCAGTGTAGCCTTCTACACAATTGCAAGTGTAATCAGCTACTTGATCATTGCAGGTGGCACCATTTTGACATGGATTTGGAGTACAATTGTCTATATTAACAGAGCAGTTCTTTCCAGTGTAACCTTCTACACAAAGGCAATTGTAATCAGCTACTTGATCATTACAGGTAGCTCCATTTTCACATGGGTCAGGACTACAATCGTCTATGTCAATGGAGCAGTTCTTTCCAGTGTAGCCTTCTACACAAAGGCAATTATAATCAGCTACTTGATCATTACAGGTAGCTCCATTTTGGCATGGGTCAGGACTACAATCGTCTATGTCAATGGAGCAGTTCTTTCCAGTGTAACCTTCTACACAAAGGCAATTGTAATCAGCTACTTGATCATTACAGGTAGCTCCATTTTGGCATGGGTCAGGACCACAATTGTCAATGTCAATGGAGCAGTTCTTTCCAGTGTAGCCTTCTACACAAAGGCAATTATAATCAGCTACTTGATCATTACAGGTAGCTCCATTTTGGCATGGGTCAGAACTACAATCGTCTATGTCAATGGAGCAGTTCTTTCCAGTGTAACCTTCTACACAAAGGCAATTGTAATCAGCTACTTGATCATTACAGGTAGCTCCATTTTGGCATGGGTCAGGACCACAATTGTCAATGTCAATGGAGCAGTTCTTTCCAGTGTAGCCTTCTACACAAAGGCAATTATAATCAGCTACTTGATCATTACAGGTAGCTCCATTTTGGCATGGGTCAGAACTACAATCGTCTATGTCAATGGAGCAGTTCTTTCCAGTGTAGCCTTCTACACAAAGGCAATTGTAATCAGCTACTTGATCATTACAGGTAGCTCCATTTTGACATGGGTCAGGACTACAATCGTCTATGTCAATGGAGCAGTTCTTTCCAGTGTAGCCTTCTACACAAAGGCAATTATAATCAGCTACTTGATCATTACAGGTAGCTCCATTTTGACATGGGTCAGGACTACAATCGTCTATGTCAATGGAGCAGTTCTTTCCAGTGT